TTTTTTTTTTTTTTTTTTGAAACAGAGTGTTACTCTGACCCTGTCCTGGGTAGGGTGCTGTGGTGTCATAGCTCATAGCAATCCAACCTGAAACTCTTGGGCTCAAGTGATCTTTTGTATCAGTCTCCCAAGTAGGTGGGACTATAGCTGCCCAGTTTATTTTTAGAGATGAGGTCTTTCTCTTGCTCAGGCTGATCTCAAGCAACCCACTTGCCTTGCTCTACCACCTACCAGAGTGCTGGGATTAGAGATGTGAGCCACCACCCCTACCCAGTTTGTAGGCCTTTAGCAGGTAATTGAGAAGTGAGGACCGTATCACTTTTGTAGTACAGGTGGGGCTTTTTCTGTTAATGCTTGGGCAAGTTCAGGCCACACGACAGGGAGAGACTCTCCTGGCATACCTGGCCAGCCTTAAGGCAGTTGGACAACACCCCTGAGCCTCCATCTGTTTCGGCTGCCCTTTCCTGGCTTGTGTCCCCTGCAGGGTTCTGGGTATCCCCATGTTGCGTGGTGCTGCTCAGCTAACAGCATCTGTGTTGGGTCCTGGTGGGCATGGAGTTTGCCTGCCACAGACAGTTGTGAGCATACCAGGCCATTTGCCCATGGGAACATGATTAGAGCTTCAGGCAGGCAGCCAAAAATACACTTCAAGGAAATTCTGGCACTGCCTGCTACTCCAGTCAAAGATACAGCCAAGATGTTCTTTTTAAGGTCTGTGTGGTTGGCACATGGGAACCGCATGGGTGCCTGGCACCTATCCAGCTTGGGGAGGACCAGCTCTGGTTCCCCAGATGAGGAACTCTGAGCTCCCAGCCTCTGAGCAGGAAGCTGGCAGAAATGACTTCTAGTGGATGCTGGGAAGGCCCCGAGGCAAAGCTTTGCCTCTCAGGTGCCCTACCTGTGTTGGGCACACCTGCTTTCCTGATCATCTCATTTCTCTGTGGGGATGTTGGTGCTGATGGCCACCTTCCTGCACCTGCAGTTTGTGTGGACCCCCTTGAATACACAGTACAGGCAAGATATAAAGCCGAGGCCCCTGGATTTATAGAAGTAAAGCATAGACATGAGGGTTTGTTTAGCATTTTCCTCCCTTGTCCATGATCTTTGTTTATTCTTTGGCCCTGAAACTGGGAATGCACAGGTGCCCTTTGGGTGCAGAGTCAGCAAGGGTGTGAGCAGCACCGCTCCCCAAGCCCTTGTAACCTTCTTTTTTTTTTTTTTCCTTGAGGCAGAGTCTCACTATGTTGCCCTCAGTAGAGTGCTGTGGCATCTCAGCAACCTCAAATCTCAAATTCTTGGGCTTAAACAATTTCCTTTCCTCCACCTCCCAAGTAGCTGGGACTATAGGCACCCGCCACAGCACCCAGCTATTGCAGTTGTCCTTTAGTTGGCCTGGGCCAGGTTCAAACCAATCAGCCCCAGTGTATGTGGCTGGTGCCCTAGATGCTGAACTACAGGTGCTGCACCCCTTTGCAGCTTCTTACTTGCTCATTCTCTACAGCGGGGGCACTTGTAACAGGGCCTGTGAGAGCTGCTGGGTCCTGGATTGCCTGGCCTCAAATCTGAATTCAGGGGCTGACCCATTCTTTGGGTCATTCCATCTGTGTACCTGGCCTTCTGCAGTGCAGTGGGTTGGAGGCATGAAGGAGCCCCAGGGTCTTTGGATAGGGTTCTGGGAGAGCACACCTACATCCCTGCTTGGTCTGGGCATGAGATCTGTGTGTGGGGAGTGAAGGGGCAGAGGGAAGGCAAGGCTGGGGAGGAAGCTTGTTGGTCTTTTCTTGTCCAGCCTGGGGGATTGGAGCTGAGGTCCTGTGGGAGGCCATGGTGACCTTGCCTGCATACCGTTTCACCGAAAACAAGACACTGTCTTACATTTTTTTTTTTTTCTTTTTTTTTTTTTTT